AGAGAGAGAGAGAGAGAGAGAGAGAGAGAGAGAGAAATCACTATTTATTTTATCCTATTTTATGAATATTTGTGAAATTTTTCAAAGAATTTCAGTCAGAAGTTGTCGAAAACATAAATGTAACATTTTTAGATTATTTTTCAACCAATAAATTAATTTTTAAAATTATTCATTTATTAAATTATTATATTTATTTATTTTAATGGATCAAAAAACCTCGTAATACAAATAACGTAATAAAATGCAAGAATGACAGATGATAGCCATTAAATTTATATTATATTCACGTGATATCACGTTCATATTGTACGCAAAAAAAAAAAAGATAACGTTATTATAATAATAATAAAGTTATTAATTCCGTTTATAGGATTTGTTAATGAGATTTCTGGTATTCTCTAGAGGTATGAAATTTGTTGATATTAATAATCATATTAACCAACTTTACCGTATAAAAAAATATATACAATACCTAATAAAAGAATTATGCAAAAAAAAAAAAAAAGAAAATATTTAAACACCATACCAAAATATCTATTCCACCGATCAAATTAATTATCCAGATCTTATTTATTCCACGAAATTATTCATTCTATCAGGGAAAAATTCATAGAGAGACTCGATCAAATATCATATACCGTATTCAAAAAAATAAAATTTAAAATCGATTAAAATGACACGAATGTCGGATAAAGTGATAGCTCGTTTCCACGACGTTTCTTTTACGCTCTGGCACGCGAATTTGCCATCCCGTTACCGACGATTCCATGCAAACCGAGTTACATTACCCATGGAAATGTGTCAGCAGTTTTCCTGGTCCTCGGCCAAGATGTTTGTCTTTTCGCGAAGAAGGAAGACGTCGTGGTGACAACCGTGGAAAATCCATCAAAGACCATTTCTCGAAAACGCGGCACGAAACAAGCGTGAATGGACGTCTCATATTTGTACAAAAATCGTGGACAATGACGAGTTGAAATGATCGAGAAAGAATTGAATTTCTTGCGTTTCAAATGAAAAAGTTTTCATCTCGATCCTTGGATAAATCAATTTAAAAACCGCGAGATTCGATCTTCCCGAGAAGAGGGAATCACTCGTGAAACTGTGGACGAGGATGGAAGCAGAATGTTTGAAGCGGTGAGTGTAGTTTATTTTAAAGATTCGAGGAAATTGTTCGCACTGGGATTTCAAGGGATTGATTTAAGGACGATATTTGTGGAGGAGCAAAAGTCGGTTCCAAGTACTTCGCACGTTCTCTGAGAGTTGAATCAGTCTGATCGATTCCTATTTCCTTGTTATGCTTCGTATTTCCTAGTGGAGCGATGGGACTAAACTAATCGCGCGTACATTTGAACATCGACAGAAACGGATTCTTTGTAAATGTATATCTATCGATGAAATTTGTTCATTTATTCGATTAATTGAATTATTTACGAAGATACGAAGATATTTCACAAGAAGAACGAATCGTTATATCGATAATAATCGAATAAAATTTATTTTTGATTGTTGAATTTGATTCAGATTTACAAGCATATATTGAACTTGATTCTATCACTAGTAGTGACAAATTTGTTGAGAAAGCAGCAGGACATATGATTGACTATTGTCAATAATTTAATTGAAAAAAAAGAAAAGATTAATTCAAAATCTGAATTACATTAGAATCTTTCCTATTTAACGACAAAGGAAACGGAGAGCTCATTTTTTTCTATACTTTTTCTACATGTGTTTTCCCTCATCAAACTTTTATCTTCGTTACCTTCCAACCGTTCCGGTTTCAAAGAAAAAGTAGACACTTATGAAAAGAAAGTGGTTTCATCCAAAGAAGAAACTCGTGAGGACAATTTCAGGATCAGGTGGGGAAAAGAAAGAACAGAGCCTTGCGTAGAGTATAATTTTCACCTTATTTTTTCGAAACAATACCTTGCTCAATTTAATTAATACCATCCCTAGATTCGATTCTGATATCTTAAAATAGAAGATAGAAAGAGATAAATACGACAATTATTTATTTCATTTATTCGAACGAATAATTGAAGAACAAGCTACATCGAATAATTGAATGATAGAAGTGTCGATATTTGACAACCAAGAAATCATTGAATACAAACGAAATCGAGAAAGAAATCATTCACAATTTTATAGAACACGTAACCAACTATTGTATAACTTACACAATAGAATCAAGAAGCGAAATAAAACTGTGTTTCTTCAAATTAAAGATCCGACCTACACAACATCTAAGATATCCAAATAAATAATCAATTCTCTTTGCGATTAACTTATAACCGAGAGAGACATACATCGAGTTTGAGCAATAGAAATTTCTAGAGCTTTCGCTCACCCTCGTACAAATAAAATGCGAATAATCAAGATTCCACTTCGCTCGCGAAACGGAGGACACTCGAACGATAAATTCAGTGGGATTTAAGCTTCCGAAAGAGACTCGGCCCCCATTGTTGAAGTTTCCCTCCCAACGATGAAATGTATCCCCAGTCGGCAAGGTGACGTTCCATAAAATGAGCTCGTCCACGAGACAGTTTCCATCCCTCTTGGAGATCTCTTGGCAGAACTTCACACTGTGACCGATGCCTGGCCAATGTTACGTAACCAGTAGCGAAACGCTTGATAAATGCGAGTTTATTTCAATCCTCTTTGCGTAGGAAGTGGTCAGGGTCGACGTCCACTAACCCAGATAAAGCGATTTCGCTCCTCTGTATTCCCGGTTCTCCAGGGGGTGTCGGAAGGAGGCGACGACTTGTCCCTCTTCTCTCTGTTCCCTCATCTCCTCGCGCAGTGTTTCTCTCTTCCCCTCTTTTCCACCGCCTTCTTGCTCCGCGGCGGATAGACGCCCTACCACTATTCTCGTCTCTTTTGCCCGGCTTCTGTAACTAGGTTGCGATCGAACTCTGTATTTCCTTGCTCCTCCATTAATTCTGAAACGTTCTCTTCGCAGTTGTCGCCATCTTGTCTTCTTTTTCACGTTTTTTAAATGTTTAAGTCCTTTTCGATTATTGTATCCATTAGTGATATATAATATAATTTTATATTTGTTTAAATAATGTTTCATTTTACAAGTTTTTTTCTTCGCTTCTGAAATGAAACAAAAGATCCAACTCTGGATTATTTACGATTGTTTGTTACTTGCTTTCTGTGTAGTGGATGTTAGATTTAGTTGATAATTCAATTATTATTGATCATGTAGTTTTTATGCAATTATATTATATGCTTTCCTCGTTTGGAGAAGGGAGATTCTATTGTTATTATTCAAGTATCTTACTTGAATGGACCTTTGACCATGGTTCTTCGAAGGAAAGTAAAAAAAGAATAAGAATCCTGTTTCTTATCTGCGGGATTCTAGCTCGTCGATAAACATGCAATATGGTTCAATAAATTGAGTACGCCGGATGAAACATGGCTCAATAATGTCTAGTATACTTTGAATACGACAAGTCCTCGAGTTCAGTTTAGAGAGTCCTTTATCTTTAAGAGAGTCCCTCTCTTCTTCTTCTCCTTCTTCTTTGATCCTTGAAACTGTCCAGGATCAAATGAGATCTTCTTTAACGGAGGACTCGGATTTATCAAATATAATTGGAGAAACATACGAGATCCGATATCTTCTATATCGGAAACAATATGATACATGCGATGTAACTTTGTAAAATTTTCCATTCAAAGAGAATAGATTCGAGAGTGATCCTTTTACTTAACACGATCCAATCATTAAATTCCACATTGTTCAATTTCTTCTATCCAAAATACCCTTTCTTTCTTTTTTACCATTAATCGACAATTTCAAAAATATTCTAAAGCATTAATATTACATTTTCCATCCAAACTCCTTAAAAGGGAGCATAAATAAGAGGAACCCTTCTCGACACGAAGAAAACAGCTATTCTTCCTTACCACGTTCGTACATTTCTGCGCCGCTCCAATCTCCCCATTTCCCTCGAACCCAATTACCTTGCCCCATCATTCCACAGGGTCGACATCCTGAGGCAAGGCCGAAACACCCCGAACCGTTTAATTCGTGGCTTGGTCAGGGTCGACAGAGAGAGAGAGAGAGAGAGAGAGAAAGAGAGAGAGAGAGAGAGGGAGAGAGAGAGTCCAGTAACCCAGATAACAAGTCGACTTTGACTGTTCACCGTGTCTTCGCCCCCCCCACAGAGCACAAGAGGGACGTTGAAGATTCCATGCGTTGCGTGCGCGCCACCATTCACCCCTTTCACTTGCCGTATCCACCCCGTTGTCTCTCCTTCTCGCGCGACCACCCCTCGAAAGCCATCCACCACCTCCTCCTCGGTCCGCGCACTCGTCCGGGGGTGGCGGATCGTCCTGGCGCAGCCAGTGCCCGCGCGTCTTTCGCGATCGTCGGACCGCGCGTACCGAAAACGGGAACGTGTTCTCGCGTGTCCTCAACCCTCGAGGATCGGGGGTGCACCGAGGGGGTGCGCGTGACTCGGCTCGAATAATTCGTAGAAATTAAACGAAAATCAGTTGTGTTGTTTTTTAAAGGTTGTTGTGTTGTTCGTGGTGATCGAGGAAAATCGAAGGGGTTGAAGAGGATATCTAAGATCGCTGGCTTATATTGGAACTCGCGACAAAAACAATCGTTCTCTCCGCTCTTCTTCTTGATTTGGATTTGGTTTGGAGAGGGTGAATCATCATGGTGTGATCATCATCAGAGTACGAAGAAGTGGCGCACTCGAGATGTTGAATAAAGTGTTTGAATAAGAGTAAAGGAGTAAAGAATTTTTTAACGATGCGTGTCGGAAATTTCGTATCCCAGGTGTGTTGATCTTTCTTTTCTTTTTTCTTTTTTTTTTTTTCTTTTCTTTTTCTGACAATCGCCCGGTGAAAATTGCTGTAATGTAAGAATATATCCGTCCCTCCTCCCCATCTCAACTATGACGACCCGCAGGATAACGAGAACTCGGCCGGGATAATGCGCCGATATGGTTATCAGAACGGATATTTCCACGCTCGACGAGAGCAATAACGATCGGTTGTAATTGGCCTATCATATCGGATTGAAGAGATTCGATGGGATCATCATCGTGTTCGCCAAAAGGAACTGGTTAGAATAGAACCCTGATAAAATCTCGTCCCTTTCTCTCTCTCTCGTTTCCTCTTGTTTTCTGATTGTTCATCCTGTGCTTGTTGTGCTCCGTTTTTTACATCTCAAATCGCGAGGATTTGGTTTCGAGTGAAAAAAGTATGCTACGAAGGACAAGTCTCGTGCTGTGAACGTCGCAAGTGTCCGGTGATTCGAGCAAGATAGAGGTGGTGACTTTCGTTCCAGATGAACGTTTAACTTGGTGGAAATGTGAGTATGTGCATGTAACGATTCTAGGCGAACAAATTCGCGCAAGAGTTTTATATTTCTCGAGCATAGACGTGGATTTATCAACCTTTCCTTTGGCTTTGGCCCTCCTCCAAACGCGATTTATTAATACAACCATTCTTGCAAATATTCCCTCATTTCTCGATCTCAAGATACTAGACGTTAAGGTGATCGACGAATATGCATTGGCCATCACCGATTATCTCTAGTTTTTCACTTGAATGAACTGTGTGCGAGTGCGTGTATGTGTGTGTTTTTGGTTTAGAAACGCGTGAATTTCCAATAATTTCCGATCGGTTGGCGATTAACCGATCAATGAACCGATCCCTCCGCAATCCTCCTTTCCTATTCTTCCTTCGTTCATAATTCATTTTTATACGCGGATACGATTTCCCTTTGGCAAAGAGCTTAATGAGATCCAGGCAGACAGATGAGCTCGATCATTAGGGAGAAAGTTTGTAGCGAGGAAACGAGCTCGATGAAATTTCGGTGTAAACTTTGCTTTGTGCGTATCAATTTTGCCTCGAGCGATTTTTCAATCAAAGCTTCTCGATCGATGGTCGTCGAATTATTTCTCGAAACAAAGAAGGAAATAATAGTAGTTATGATTGACGACTGTCTGCCCAGAAATTTGACATCTCGATTTCCATTTGCTTGTATCGATTGTATCGATTGTATCGATTATATCGTTAATAATTTAAGATGAAATAATCATTGCTTCACGATATAAATAAATTGGAACATTCGAAGACAATAGAATCTAAAATTTTTCGAGAAAAACATTTTCTTTTTTTTCTTTTTTTTCAATTTCTACACTCGTAACAAAATTATTTACGAGCACGAATCGTTCTCGATTCGATTTCAGGTCAAAGGTTTACGTTTTCCTCTAACCACGTTTCGTCTAATTTAATTATACCAAACGAATGCCTCAAATGCTTAATCTATCGTTCAACGGTATCTATTTATCGAACATCCATTCCATCCAACATCGTCAATATAAATCTCTCGCAATTTTGGCTCGTTTTTCTCCCCCCTCGCGTTGGAGAATTAGTTTTGCAATCGCGCGAGAACCATCCACCTCCCCATACGCCTCTTCTTCGACCCTGTTCACTCCGAAATTACGAAATTACGTTATTAAACTCCATCCGCAGCGAGTTTGGGGAACGGAAATCGAATTAATCGCGGTAAATTTGCAGAATGGTCTTGCAGAAAAGCTGGAACGAATTCACAAGCGCGGAACACGCGGCTGAGGGGTGAGAATTCCATCGTTGATATATTTCGATTTGTATCGGGGAACGAGAGCGAGTGTTCGAGCCCCGCGTAGTCTTTTTAACGCGTCCTTCTCCCTTTATCCGCTCCCACTTTCGATCCCTCTGTCTCCCTCTTTCTCGAGCTCTCGTCCACGATTTCTCGGGCTTCCACGCGAGCAAAGTGGGTTTCGCCGGGGACTAGACATTCCCGAAGAATAACGACAATTACACGATGCAACGACGTGCCGTTTTCAACCTCTCGTCGACTGGATTTTTGGTCACGATCCTTGCCAACCACGACTCTATTCCACCTTTTAACGGGGAATATTTTTCGAACAGGTGAATTTTACTGAATGCTTCGAAAGATCTCTCTCTCCCTCCCTCTCTCTTTCGTTTATCGTTGAACGTTTGGAAATGGCTCGTGGATCTTGTTATTGAAAAATTTTCATAATATTTTCCATCTTAAAATAAGAAAGGAGATTCGTTTTGATTCCTCAGTGATATCAGTCCGCTTTAGAGTTGATTTAACACAAATGGGATAATTGGTTATGCCAATGTTTAATGATACGAGCCATAAATTGAATAATATTTAAAATAAAAATCGAGTGCCTTCACTTTCGTCATAAATATATTCAAAATATTCTTCCTTTCGTTCAAGAAAGATTATGATAATGAGATATAGGCACAATCACGAATTTTCGTATTTTCTTAAAGAATTAAATCTGATTTTACTCGATATATATATATATCAAAATTAACGATAATTGGTATCGATAATTGGTAGCTGCATTGTCAACAAGGAAATACAGCATGTAATTTACAGTCTGGTATCTACTAATTCACGATGTGTCCATAAATTAATGACAAAAGCTATTAGCCCGTACAATTAAGGGTATAATTGATGTCACTGAAATATCGTGCCTGCCTGGAAATCTGACTTCATATCTCGTTGTAAATTTTATGCATTGTATGCACTGCCCGTTTCTTCTCGCTATGCTCTCTTTCCTTTTCCCTGTCTTCGAATCCGTGGCAGTTGACAATAATTGAAATTCCAAACTTATCACGAAGAAGAGGGATGGACGTGTCAGCAAGAGACGGTCAGGACGGGAATATAAAATTTCGGAATGGAAATTCTGTGGGTCGACGAAAGAGAGTTGAGAATATCACGAGGGTCCTCCGTTTCTTCCTTAATTGGTCGCCGACAAGCGATCATTAATTATAAATAAATTTTCGCGATCCGATGTTCGTTTCATAAATATTATTCTCTCTCAAAAATTTCGAAATTCTTAAGGCATGGCACGCAGATTGCTGTTATTGGAAAAAAAGATAATGGTTTCTAATTCTAATCGATCGAAATCAGGAAGTCAAATTGGAAGAGTGAAAATGGCGGGAGATCATGGTGCAAGTTTCTCCAGTTTGGAGTTGTGAGAAGTTCGAAATAAAATACATGAACTTGAAGGATTAATGAACGTATTAATTAATTTTTTTAATGAGAAGCTTATACTTTATGTTTCCCCATTTCGATAAATCAAAAAACCAATATTTCTTCGAATCCTACAAGAAGAATTTTTTTTTCTTTTTTCCTTTTTAATATATATTTCATTCGATATTAACGAGAAATGTTGCAAAAGTGAATTTAAGCTGGATCAAAGAATTATTTTCATCGAGAAAGTAAAATATTGACAAACACTTGATAACTTGGACCGAGGCAATGTCTGTTAAAATTACGCAACACGTACACTCGAATGTGATATTTTTTTTCATTTCAAATGGAAGTCGCGCATTATCAATAACATCCCTTTATAAATAAAAACGATAGACAGTGTGAGAGCGATACGTTTCTCATGAATTCGAGAAAAGAATTGAATTTTTTCTCATTCCATCCGCCCTTTCACGAAAATTGAAGGATCCTTTGAGTTTGATGAAATTCTTGCAATCTATATTCGCCTCGATAATAACGAACGAAACCCCAGCAATCAAACCGACTCAGTTTTCTCGTCCACGACGATCAACCGCCATTCATCCCCTTCGATGAATTCCAATGATCGTAGCTCTTACTAAGACATTCGCCCATCCGGAAGGAATTGATCCAATAAATATTTCAAGGGGATGAAACGATGAAATTTTGTGAATTACATTCGATCAATGTACTTCCCCAATCAAATTTCTGCTTTATCGAAATAATCACCTTTCTTTCAAATACCTCTAAACAAATTTTGTTTCCTTGACCATTCCATCCATTGATTTTTCTTTAATATAAAATAATTGTTAATATCAAAAATATTATACCAACGTTTCCAAACGTAGTATTTTTGGAATCGTAATATTTAATATATTTTATCGATCCTTCGATTTTACGATCGAAAAGAAATAATAACATCGTTTATAAAAATATCCATCGATGGAATGGAATAATACGACTATAAAATAAATATAATAATAAAAAATACCAAAAATTGCTCACTGGAACGGGCAATCACCAGAAAAACGACAGAGTGAATTTTATTATTCACGAATCCTAACGAATTCCGAACGATCGAATAATAAAGATAAAACAGAGATAAATAATCGACGGTTTTTATCGTCGACGAGAACGTCGACGAATCGACGATACGTCCAAGCCAAGGAATCACCACCGAGGAATCGTGGTAAAAGAAATAAAAGAAATAACTTCGATAGATTTTCGTGGAATCGTAAAACTGGCGGTGGTGGCCAGTAGTAAAAATCTCGAATGAACGAAGAAGTGGAATCCATCGTAGGTGGATAACGTAGGTGGAGGGAACGTTCAAGGGTGGGATAGGAAAACAAGGACGATTCGGACACACGTACGCAATCAAGCGGCGCGCTTAAGGCCCGAGAAATGGCAAACAAACACGGCTGGGGGCAAAGTTACCCATCGCTAAATTGGGTTAGCTTAAATCCGTTTACGTTAACTCTAATAGCGGAAGCGTGAGCTGCATGTGGCAACGACACCGAGAACCCCTCTACCCTTTTATACGCCCGCTAGGTTTCTATCGATCAACGATCCAACAGCTGCCGGATTGTTGGCGAGGAATGGTCTTGCGTAGCCGTAGAACGATAATTTCCACGATCGAGGAGGCCTGCAAAGATACAATTTGGACCGATTAGAAGATCAAAGTGGGGGAGATCCAGTTGTGAAATTACTATTGTTTGTTGGAAAAATAAAATGTATTTTACTGTAAATTTTATTCTGGATAAAATATTTCGTAATTATGCAAAGAATCTTTCTTAAATTTTTTAATTTATCAATCGATCGATTAATAAATTATCCTTATCGAACGATAAATTTAGATTTTCATTGATTTGAACTGTTATGAATTTCTCAAGTCACACGTTCATAATTCACTTATACGCCAATTCAATAATTAAATTACTTCCTATCGTCAATTTTTCAGCCGATCGTAACATAAGAAAAACGAATTTACGTAATACAAAAAGATATTAACAAGATTCGTGATGAAAAATTAAATTAACCGCTTTTAATTTTATGATATATAAAATGATACGTATTAAAATAAACTCCTCTCTCCGTTATTCGAACGAAAAATAATTACCAATTGGAAAGAATCAATGAATAAACCTATTACGAGTTGTTTATCCCGCAACAAATTTAATTAAAATGGATTCGCAATCTGCATAAAGACTGTACTCGTAATCGAAAATGTTGAAATAGACGTGTATCGATAACAGAGCGTTTCGTTTACGTACAACACACGTATATAATAAAATAATTATTCCGAAAAACGGAGGATTTTACTTCATAAACAACCGTCAATCACAAAAGTTCCAATTCGATATTCACGGAAAAATCTGATAATTGTTTTCCAATGTTATCGAATATACACGATAAACTTGCCGACATTTTGGAAATTTTCTCACGAGAAGTTGCTCCTCCTCGAGCTTTGCATCCGTGGAGATGATCGAAACGGATCGTTATTGTTAATCGCAATTAAATACTTGTCGAGATTGCGTAACGTCAACACACAAGATGCCACCAACAAGATGATTGAACAAATAAATCCTCTCATTATCCTCGCCGGGATGTAACAACAATTAACCTTAGTAATCGTGGTACTTTCAATTACGTTAGGGCCAAGAGCCAACAATCTCTCGATGTCCTGCACGTTCTCCATTAGACGCCAATTTATACACACAACTAGCCCGTCAACTAGAATATAATTGTTAATCGGCGCGTATTGATTACATAGCCACGCCACGATAAATGTTCCTCCACGTGTCGCGCGTTCGCAAATTGCACGCGTAATCGCGTTAACATTTCGCTTGATCCGCATGCAAATGAATTTGTACACGACGAGACTTCAACGCCCAGCGCTCGTTTCCTTCCAATTTTTTCGTTCCACACACAATTGTGATTAACGCGTGAACGAGTTAATTCGTGAAGCTGGGAGAAGTCGTTTGCAAGTTAAACAGGAAGAAACGGCTTATTCGTAAATGGTACACACACTTGCTCGTTTGCCTTTTCTTTCATTAGACTATTGTGATATGAGGAGAGGGGCGGATTTTATTATTCTTTGCGAGAAGTTGGAGAAGATTCAATTATCCAAATGCAATATTCAATTAATCTTCGATCATTTTATTTATTTTTGATAATCGACAGATTCTAAACCAGTGTTTTCTAAGTTGTAATATTTTTTAAATTGTTCTCTTATTGCCACGTTAAAAAATATTCGTGAAAATTATGATCCAAGAGCAAAGTTCTCGATGCAAAATCACAAATAAAAAATTACAACAATTCTCTTCTATGATTCTCATTTATCGATAGCGAGAGATTCTAAACTCTCCCCCTTGAATTAGATAATCCTTTCTTTCTTGAAACGTATCTGCTGAGCCATGAGATACGTTTTCGAATACGGACGAGAAAAAGGAATTTCTGGAGAAATTCAATCGTACCAAGGGTATTGCTCGATCGTATACAAAGGAAGCACCATTCCATTGAAACAAGAACGATCCTCTTTTTTGCGAATCCTCCATTTTGGAAACTCGTATTGTGCCGAACAACGAACAACACGTTTTTCCGCCCGAATTCGATCGAAGATATCAATCAGTGATTTATGAGTTGGAACACGCGTGGTCCAAGGCTTTCCATTAAACTGATGACCTCCATTACATCTCACAGACAACTTGTACACACGCGAAAGATGAACGTAAAATTCGCTCGTGATATCGGGAGAATTATACCGAACGGACGATGATATCAGATCCATCCTCTCGTTTCTTTGTATATAATCTAATGAAGGATCCGTAGATGTAATTATTGAACTTGAAAAACTACTCGAAAAACTCTCTCCTCTAAAGAAATTTCTTTCTTCTCTCGATGATTAATGAGTAAATTAGGCTTGCTTTTCTTGTTTCTTCGCGAATGCATGTTTCTCTTCGTACCTTCTTTCTTTCGTATCTTCTTCTAATATCATTAGAAGATTTAACGAATAATCTGCCAATTCTCTCGTCAATTTCACGTCAATTTCACTTTTGAAAAAATTGTTAAAAATTACGCCAGGAAATAATATTCGAATTAGGAAAGAAGGTAACGATTGATAAATAACGTTTTAATTGGTAAAAGGGAATGTTCCGTTTTTCACAAGAGATATCTTGCATCGTTTCAGGTGCGGACAATGAAGGCTCTCCGGGGATTTGCATAGACGTGCGCGTGGAAACTCCGACAATGTGCAATTCCGTGTTAAAGTGTTCGTGAACGGGTTTCTCGTTATTCGTACGATCCTCTCGGCTACCTGTATCGCATTCTGCCCAGCAAAGGAATACGCAAGAACGATGTCATAGTCAGGTGCGAGTCGAGTTCACTTGGGGCACAATGGCACTGTTGTTCGCCATTATTGTCATCCTGGTCACCACTGCCATGTCGCTGCCGCCGGTCATCAGAATCGGTAAGTCGAAACGATTATATTATATCCAATTAAATTAAATTGGAATCTATAATTTTACTATTGTTCGAATAAGAAATAACGATAGGCTATATAACAATATTCCACGTTGATACACGCAAAATATTTTCGTAATCGATAAGTTGTGTTACCGAAACCAATGAAAATTTTCCTTCTAACGAAAGTTTATGAATATGTAGTGATATTGAAATTTTAATGCTTATCTTTTTTTCAAAATTTGAATTTATAATTGCACAAGGTAGGAGAAAACCTTTAGACGAGATGCGACGAAATGTAAACAAATTTCATTACAAAAAGGAAAAGGCGAAATTATATTATAAAAGCATGGGAAAAAATTTTTAAATTCGGATAATTTCACTCCTCGGAAAAAAATTTTTTACCGAAAAGAAGAATCCATATAATCCATTATGATTTACACGCCCGAAAACTTTCGTTCGAATCGGAATATGTTGAATGGATAAAATTGCGTTACCTTTGTAAATATCTTCGTATCATGGACGGTAATTAAACCGAAAATTGGTAAATTAATATCCAAGCTTTGAAGCGCGTGAAATATAAACGAAAAGATAAATCTGTTAATTAAACAGCAACGGATGCTGAGAAATTTCGTGGATCGACGAGTACGAGAAATAATTTGTATGCAACGTGTATGCTCGTCGATCAACCGGGGAAATTGGAACGAATTTTATACGATTACCCGCATATTCCGCGCGATTACGCGAATAAGAATGTTCGGCCTAGTAATTAAATTTATCTCGAGACGGCTTTTTTCACGGTGGCTTCTCGTTCGTTAAACTGAACGTGTAGGGGAAAAAAGAGAAGAGAAAGAAAAAAAGAACGAAAAAAAGAAATGAGAGAGAGGGAGAGACGGAGGGAAGAATGTTTTGCAGGGAACATTTATTGAATGGGTCGAAGTTAATCTTTGATAGACGGATTGGAAGTAACCGAGTTTTAATTACTTCTACGACTAATTAACGCCAATCTTACCTCTCGCCTTTTACTCTCCCTCGATACACAAAATTCTCTCTCTCTCTTGAAAAACGTATCTTCGCCCTGATATATTGAATTCCACGATCTAATTAGCCCTTTAGCATCCTCGAAAGTGTGTCAAATTCGATCCTGGATTGACATTTAAATTTTTCTTTTCCCTTTTAATTCACGAAAATTAAATTAATAGCTTATTTATGTAAACATGATTTCAAAAATATTTATTTCAACGAAGATTAATTTTGTTTACATACTATAATAATAAATAATAAGATGGATATGCTAGTTTTATGTTAGACAATATAAATTAAATTAATTAATTCCTGTCGTTTTTCCTTTCAACAGCGATTTATGATAATAATTATGCTGGAATTTTACTACGTTTCTAACTACGTTTTTTTATTCTCAAAATAAAATGTTCCATTCCTTCTCTTCATCGTTATTCCTCTCTTTGAAAGATACAAAACGAACACGCAAAATATACGTCTATTTTATAACGAAGCCGAGACTTATTGACTTCATTCTCACTGGCCGCGTAATAACACCCATTTGTCAATTAATGTCAACATCAGTTAGTCAGTTAGTTAGTCAGTTTGGACACGTACCGTTGCAAACGCAAAGCTTGCTCGTAGAGAGGCCGAGTTGTAGGACGCATACAAAGCGGTTGGCCAGCAAACGATTCTCTTGCACCGCGATTCATCCCTTAAACCACGACCACCTTTTACCGCCGTTGAGTCGCCCTCGTGGTCTCTGACGTTAAGAGGCGGCGTGCACTCTTCTCTCCATGATGGAGGAAACTATTAACTTCTTCGAAAACTTAAGTTAACTTCACTGAAAAATTAATTTGCCTGCCTCTCTACGTGACCTACTCGTCGCGACGAAAGGAAAGGAAAGATTGGAAAGGATCGGTTGCGGAAGGATCGAAGGATCTGTCACCGCCGATTCTGAGCCGATTTCCTCGCCCTCTTCGATATCCCTCGTACGATTCTCAACCGCGTGGCGTGGACGTATTCGAAAATGTCATTTCTCGGGGAATATGGCCATCTCTTTCGTGGCCATCAACGAACTCCGGCCACGCGATGGAAACTTTCCGTCCGGCGTAATTACACGGAATTTCAACGCGGTGAACCGCCAGCAGGGAAACTTGGCCGCAATTTGAACCTTGCTGTTGACGAAAGGCCGGTCCGTGATTAAGGAGGCGTCGAGAAATGTGGCGAAGTAGTTTCCTCTGGTCGAAGGGAAGGGAGAGGGAGTGAATAGAATTTTAGGGAAATTGTGATTTGGTTTAATTTAATTCAGATGAAATTGTAACGACGCGTTACTTTTGCTCGGATATGGATTATTTTTGATCGCTTGAAATATGTATAATCATCATATTATTATAACAAATATGAAATACTGGAATAGTGTTACGCAATATTAAAGTAGAAAAAGGAACACCAGTTTTTTGAAATTATTTACATTCAAAATTAATCGTGGTGCAATAATGGCTGTTTCAATATTCCAGTAATATATTTGCCTTTGTAACTCTGTCAAAATTGCTAATATAAAATTTGATAAAACATTTTGATGATGCGAAATAAAATTTAAAGTGAACGAGTTATTAATTACGATTATTAATATGATTTTGCCTATATATATATATTAATATATTAAGATAAAAGAAACATTGTTAGAAGTTTGATTAAGATCAAGTACTTTATTATCCGATCAACACGGTGGGTCTCAGGCGTGATTATAGACATGGTGCAATACACCTGTCATTCAATGTAAATTTGTGTTACGTGTTATGGGAACAATCTGACCCTTGCAACTATACTCGTGTAACTTCCATTGTTATCGATTCAATGTATAATATAATTCCAATTAATAGAGCACGATAATTGAAATTGGAAGCTAATTGCAACTGGACTGTATTGTGGCAATCTCCTTGATTTTACTCGGAGAATTGCACTAGATCCAATATCCTTTGGTTTTGCCGTTACAATAACAAGTGTTCCTCAGGAGGATAGCGACAATCACTGTCGATTTTTCCTCGTCTCACTTCCTTCGGGATTCCTTTGCGATTCACCAAAGCGAGTCAACTTCTTTCGATTTCCGATCGATCTTAATTAAATCCGTTACGTCTAATTTAATAACGAAGAAAAAATTATCTTATTACGATCTCTTTATCGTGCGAATAATTTCAATTCTAAATTTCTTTTTAAATTTTTACTCGAAATTAAAAAAAATAAAGTATCGAAATAATTTTTCCCTTAAATATTTTGATTTCCTGGATTATTTAAATCTTTAATCAATCTTTCACTTCGTTCCACTCTTTATTCTCTTTTCTTTTCTTTTCTCTCGCATTTTATCCTCTTCATTATTTTCTACATATGATATCATATAATGGAAAGTAAAGATTATATTTTCCACGACGAATGTACGAATAAACATAGGCAAGATAAATATTCAAAATAAACGGAATTGGACTGTAATAGTGTTTGTAGAAAATAAATAAATCTTGTTTTCCAAGAAGAAGAATCCTATCGTATATTGGATTTTCGCCTTATTTGACTACGGTAATCAGATCAACGTCGATACACGATCTCGAGAAAAATAGTTTCTTTTGGAGAGAACAATATCAATCTTTTGATGCATTGTTATTTGTACATCAATCTTGAGAATTCTATTTCCCAACCGTGGTCCTCGAGGTGGAAGCGAATTTCACTCAACATCTCAACAAAGAAAGAGTATCGTGTTGCGCTCGAAAAAAGCTGGTACACCGTAAGGATCGCGTGAATAACTCATCTCTTATTCAACTCTCGCGAATATACTGATCCTGCTTGATTTTCGTATTTTCTAATTCAACAAAAATTCATTGTTCGAGAATCAGAGCGGTGATATATGTAATATAATATCGTATTATGTAAAAAATCAACGATTAAATAAAAAAAAAAATATCAAAATCTAAACTAAATTATTTCTCAAACAATCTTTCAAATTTTCTAATTCAACAAAAATTCATTGTTCGAGGATCAGAGTTCGTAAACCATGGTAAATATATTTGTAATTTAATATATCATTATATAAAAAATCAACGATTAATAAAAAAAAAAAAAAAGAAATATCAAAATCCAAACTAAATTATCTCTCAAACAAACTATCTTTCAAACAATCAATCCTAAAAAGTTATTACGAAATTTTGGAGGTTGTGTTATGACAGTTTCTAACTATTATTTCGAGCTATATATAACAAGCGTGGAGAAAACATCGTCTTGCCACGTGGAACGGTGTCACGTAGAACGAAAGGGTGGTGCGTCTTTCACCCCCGAGGCACGTTCCGCAAATATAAGTTGGCGAATTTCCGGCAGCCACTTCTGCGACTTTAATTACTCCTTGGATCCCTCGAGCAACCGGCATTAGCTCCGCCATTTCGCTTTCACTAACTGCCAAGACTCGTGTCAACCTTCTTTCCCCCAGTGACAGTGACGGAGAATTCTTTCGAGTGAGCGAGGGTTGGCCGATATCGAAAAATTATTCCATCGTTAAATCCGCAGCTTCTCTTCCTCTTGTTCCTCTTGTTGAATATTCCTCGTCGTGGAATAAACGTTAATGAAGTCCGGGGAAGGGGGGCGAATCGCCATGGTGCTAACAGTATTAAAGATTTATAACTCGACTACCTCGCTACGGGGAATTATAATGTGCTTAGAAGCTCTATGAAGGTGTGGTCGTCCAGTGTCGGTGAAGAAGCCGGGGTTCGACGTGTCTTTATCATATTTAAAGCGAAACTAACTGGTGATTTGTCTCGCGGGGATAGAGATAAATTCGATAGCTTCGTAGAGGGTGAAAGTGAATTTTCATTCTTGTGAACACGTTTTACAATTTAGAAGATAATGAAATGTTTCATAGCGTGATTCGATAACAAAAATTTTGAAAGAACGTGGAATGATTTGCTTCGACGGTAACGGGATGGATAAATATTTTTTTTTTTTTTAATTTAAAGAGTTAAATTT